GCAAATACATAGACATACCTTTCAAGAGTTTTTATTAAAAACCTTTCAATCCTTTCAATTTAAATGGTAATCTTTATTATATCTTTTATTTTACAAATGAAAAACTTTTAACTTGTTATTACAAGTTAAAATTTATTCAAAGATATTATTTGTTAAATAATACTTTATTTTTTAAAAAAAAAAACGGTTTATATTTATTTTTAATACAAAAAAAAAATATTATAAGATCTATAAGTTTAAAAGCAAAATTGACTGTTTTTCAAGTAAGATTCACTAAAAGTTAATGAGTATGTTCAAGTTTTTTTATTGATAAACTAATAGTCGCAAACTCAACGAACAATCATATAAAAAAAAATCTTAAAAAAGTATAATAAAGTTACTCAACTTGCTTATCAACGAAGTAAAAAAAGGTGTAAAATTACATATGAAAATCACTTGGCAAAATGATCAGCACTATATGTAACACCATTTGCTACTCAAAATTGGAGAAATGCATTGCAATTGATATATATACAGTGAACTCTTGATATAATAAACCCTAGGATCTGAATCATAACTTTATTAACTTTATTATAAGCTTATAACAAATTTTTAAAGAATTTAATTGGCTAATTCATTATATTTAATATATTTAATTTAAAAATTCGCTATATTAAAGTTCGCTATATCAAGATTTGACTATATGAGGCCTTTGCAATAGAAAGGGGGGAAACTGCCGGGAAAATTAATTTTACTTTTATCCAAATATGATTTTTAGGCTGAAATATGTTCAAATTTAGCATTAACTCATTTTTTATTTTTCCAGTAATTTCCCCCCTTCTATTGCAAAGGCCCCATATAGTAGGTTCTAAATTACTCAATCTTGGTAAAATTCTCTCGTAAGAAATAATCTCTCACATATTCTGTGAAAAAAAAATCTGTAGATATGTATGGGAATATTTAATTTGAAAATCTAGTGTAAAGCCGAATAAAGTAATAAAAAATAAAATTTCGCCCAAAATTAATTAGCCATTTTGGGAAATAATCGATGGATTTATCATGTGACTGCAGAATTTTCGGGTTTAGTTATTTTTTAAGTGTTTATTTCGCGTTTTGCTTTTTCACTGAATAACTAAAATGAGGGGGGTAGGGTAAAACTAGATCTGAAAACCTTACGCATCATTTACTAGTACAAATAATAAAATAAAAGGGAGACACATTTTTCATAAGTTAAGTTAGTTTAGCCTAAATCCAGGAGTTTTGTCAGGCAACTATAAAAAGTCCGGGATTGCAACAACTTTTTATGAGGAACTTAAATTTCGTCACAACCAATGAGACTTAGCAGAATAAGTTTTTAGAAACACTGTTGAATGCCTTTTAAAACATTATAACAAGGAAGTAAATAAATATGTGAATCATCTGAATAGCGATGATTATCAGTTCCTTACTTTACTAGTTTGTAATCAATACTGGAAAAGACTTGCAACTGAACACTATAGAGAGGTATACAATATATTAGATTTAATACTAATAGTTTTGTATTGTTCACGATATTTTTACTCTTTTCTTTATTATAGGAAGGAAATCATTATCAACTTCAACATAAAGCCAATGTAGAAAAGAGAGTAATTGAATTTGATACCAAAATTGGGCAAAAGTGGGTAGATGACCTTGACCATCAAAACAAGAGAAGGCGTTGCGAAGCCAGTACTCTGGAAAAATATTCAGATTATAATAATGTCAAAAGGTCAGCGATAATATAAAATCAATATGATTATCTGTCTTTATTAACTATCCATCTTGTGTCTAGCCTAGTAGATGATAATGTAGGAGACGAAAGCGAAAACGAAAGTGAGAATTATAATGACTATGATGAAACTGGCAATGAATCTAACAAGAGGTTTTACCTGTGTTTGTAAGTAATAAATTTATGCGGTGAAATTACTTATGTCTTTATTCTCTATTATTCTCATAAGGAATGACATAGAAGTAGAAAGTGAAAGCGATTATGATACAACTGATGAAAATTTGTCATTGCAATGGATAACAAAATTTACCTTTTTTTTTGATTCTTTAGATGACCAATGCGATTTTGTCTTTATTGCGGAAGTAAAGTTGCTTAGTCCAATGTTATTGAGTTTGAGGAATTTGAGAGTGACAGTGATGAACTAGTTGAAGTATGTTAATAACAGAATTCTTATTATTTTATTTTACATATCTCACAGTCTACTTATGTTATTTAGTCGGATCATGAAGCAGATGAAAATAAGGATAATAAAGATCCTCTTAAAATAGACAAATTGGCTTTTCGCAAAGTGCACCATGCTATTCCAGATAATGCGAAGATGTATTTGAAGTCAGGAAAGATAGTTGAAGATGTTCTTTTCAAAGATATGAAGCATGAATAGTAAGTTTTCTCAAAACTTGATCTCTCTTTTTTTTTATCTTATTATTCGTGATCTTGACATATATTATCAGCCATGCCCATTCCTACATTATAAATTATGACGACGAAAATGTCAATGAATTGTTCACCGAAATGGAGTGGAATGAATTAACTGAGGATCGAATTAGGATTTCAGCTGTTCTGCGTGAAATCAGAGAGGAGCTGGTGATATACGGGAAGAAAAAAACATTAAGTGAGCTTTATAATTCTGTGTTGACATCGTATTTACAAGATAGGACCATCTATGATATCAACAAGCACTACAATCAGGAGTGGATACAAATGGTGATCGATACTGGACACCGCATAATTAGTGAACATGCACGTCCAAATTTTTGATCGATACTGACACTGCATAATTAGTGAACATGCATGTCCAAAATTCCTTTGTACTGCGTCATGATTACTGAACCTGTGTCATCTAATTTTCCTGGAATATAATTGGCCGATTATCTCATGATTTATAGCTACTTACCAGCTCCTGGAACACTCCTAAAACTATCGAGAAACTGGCAGGGATTTAGGAAGATCACATGTGATACAAATTTTAGCCGAAAACGCTAATCGGATCTAATTTAACTGAATCAATAAACTAACTATGCTTACCTTTTTTGTAGGTTCCAAGCCTTGGAGTTCCTATAGAGGGAGTGAGAAATTTGTTTTTAAAAAAAAGAAACTAATACTTATTTTTTGAAAAAAATATAAATCTGTTTTCACCTGAACAATCGAATAAAAATGAATTTGTATTTATTATATATAATATTGCTAAATTAGCTAAAGTCAATAAAAACACTATAATATCAATAAAATTGTTATATTCTATTATAATCTACTTATTCAAAGCTACATCTAGTAAGCTATGGAGATATAAACTTTGAAAAATATAGAAGAATAGTTGATGCAATATGGCCTTTAACAAAAAAATGTGATTACGAAATATCAGAAATGTGGTGCTCTCGTATTTGTGATCTATTTAGGAAAATACTTGAAGAGAATCTAGGAATTCTTTTTAAAAATAGATATATTTCAATGTGTGAAAAGTTATATGAAAGTGATAGTAAAGTTCATGCTTATTTAACCAATTATATATATTATAGTGTATGTGATTCCTTATTTTTATACCTGATACTTCTTTTAGTGCTTATCTTATATTTATCAAGATAGCTATTTGAAAAGATGTATTTCTGAAAATAGTATTTTGAATGAAAATGCAAGAAGAAAAGAAATTCTCAAATCTATTGATAGAAGGGAATTTGAAATTTGGTAATACAAACAATACATATTATAAGAAGAGGCAAAAATTAAGCATTTCCAATTGAAGCTTTTCTCCCAATCTACTCTACACTCAGAAAAGGATAAATTAGCATTGATATTATATAATAGTGATTGTCGTTCAACTAGCTATAAAACATATATGCAGGTTAAAATGACTATAGTAGAAAATATTATGTCAAGTATTTCAAATTTCAAGTCAGCTTGTATTTCACTTACCAGGTAAAAAATGATTTCACTAATTTCTTATCAATCATCGAATTGTAAAAGTAATACAAGCAAAATATTTATCTCGTTTTGGTATGCAAAACAAAATAACTTACTACCATCTATAAATCATTTTAATCAACCTACATTAAGATTGAGAGATAGGACAAAAATTACAATTGTTTAATTGACCGATTCTGAGAAAATTTTTAAAATAGACAATTACTATCTTAATTAAAGATGGTACAGCAATTGATTTCAAATTTACAAAATGTTGCAACATAAGCTAAAATTAGTTGTAATATATGTTGCAACATTATAAGTTGCAACATATATAGGTTAAAACTAATTGCAACGTAAGTTGCAACATTAAAAGTTGCAACATATTAATTACAGTTCCCATCTTTAATCTTAATATAATACAATTTATTAGATTATGATTTATTGATTTTTTATGAAATGAATAACCCGGAATATTATCTTAATAAAATAATATATAATCCAGCCATAATGTATGTAAGTATATGTGACATAAATTAATACATTTTCAGATCCTCGTTAAAGTATATATAATGTAATATATGATAGTCTGCATTTGTGAAACTATGCTTGTGTAACAAAATAATTTCACACATAAATCGATCTCTCAAAATATTTCAAATTTTTTTCTCGCAATATTTAGCAGAATAGCATTTAGTAGAATATTATTTAATGATATGTATATTTGTTTCAAAGGGATAGAATATTTCTATTATTTTGAGTAGAATATATTTATATTACTAGGACTTAGTAGTAAGCGGTCGGGTAAGCAAAAAAATTCATATATGATTATTCCCAACACTATTCTAAATGTTGAGATCTTTAATGCATATTTCACATGTCTTTATTTTTGAACACAAAATTTTGGCATAAGAGTCTGTCGCATATTCTCCTGTCCTTTTTCCATCATGAATTGCAAGACCAGAAAGATGTGAAATGAAATCATTTAAAAGGGTGGTATTGGTATTTTAAGTCTGAATTACTAAGAATATTCTTATTGAAGTACTATTAAATTTTTGCATCTTGTAACATTCTTTTTTACCATACCTACCAATTTATACACTAAAATTTACAATTTCTTGTTAAACGCTAAAGAAGCGGATATTATCGCTGGGTCTGTTATCTACTAAAGAATTGAAGACAATTTCTAAATACCTCAAAATGAATTAAAAAGTATTATCAAGCAGGCCGTAACATTTGTAAGAAATCAATATAAATGAAGTTCCTCACATCATACTACTTTTCTCAAAATTCTACCAGAGGTAATATATAAAACTTTAAACAAAAAAAGAATTTGTTTGAGTAATAAATAATAAACAGTGATACAATTTTGAGAAAGAAAGCATAATAGACTAAATATCCTATTAGCTTACTCACAGGATTTTTTTCTTAGCAGTGTGAAAGGTAGTTAGACGTTTAATTTAATGTGATTATTTCAGTATCACATAAAGTTTTTATTTGAGTATTGGAGTAACTTATCATGCGAGAATAAGGCTTTATTTTAATCTGACAACGCATGCGCTTTTGATAATTATTTATATAAATACACCTTAGGGTAATTGTATATCTGTGTTAATTTAAAATTAGCTTTAAAATAGTTTGTAGTTTATGTAATATCAGTGCAGTGAAAATGAATGGAGAAAGGCCATTTACTTCAAACAAAATTGAAAAAATATTAAAACACTGAAGGGTCAACTCAAAAAAATACCTCACAGCTAGGGTTTCGCAATTCAATTTGATATTTGAATATTTGATTTGAAAATTAAATCAAATACAAATTCAAATTTATATTTGATTTGATTCGATCAAATTCAAATCAAGTATTCAAATATTTGATTTGATTTGAATCAATAGTAAAGCTATCTACAAAGCTTCAGAAATGGCTCTTACTAAGAAAACTATGATAAAAAATGCCTCTGCAGCTTTAGAAATACCTTTTTTTACTAAGAAAAACATAGTAAAAAATGTCTTTGCAGCTTTGGAGATATTATTTTACTAAGAAAACATAGTAAAAAATGTCTCTGCAGCTTCAAAGACACTATTTTACTAAGAAAACATAGTAAAAAATGCCTTCGTAGCTTCAGAAACACTTTTACTAAGAAATCTAGTAAAAAACGCATCTGTGGCTTTGAAAACATTTTTTTACTAATAAAATTGTTATGAAACTGAGATGGTGATTATTACTAATACTAGTCGAAATAATCCATTTCATCACTTTTTAAAGTGCCAAATGTTAGCTGAAATATAATCTAATTTCTACTGATCATTGTCAAAACAATCAGCATTTTTAGTTATAGCTGAAGTTGCCATTTTCATGCTAAACAAAAAAATATTCAATATTAATGATTGGTAGTTATTTGATATATTACTAAGCAAAATAATACAATTCGTCACATTTAAAGTGCCAAAAGTTGGCCAAAATATAGTCTAATTCTACCAATCATTACCAAAAATCAGCACTTTGAATAAATAGAAAATCAGCTATCAATCAGCATTTATGTTAAAAATTAGTCAAAATTCAGCATAAAATTGGTTAACAATCAGTAAAAATTAATTAAAAAATCGAAACTAATAAAACTAATTTTTGTTTATTTATGATTTATAATTTTATTTTATTATTACATAATAAATTACTCAAAAAGAATATATATTGTATTATATTTTATTCAAAAAAAATACATTTGATTTTTAAAGTAAAGAAAAAATAAAGAAAACAGTTAGAAAACCCATCAAATATCATTTTTGAAAGGCTTACTTTAATGTATTCCTAAAAAAAAAGTAAAGAAAAAATAAAGAAACTGTTAGAAATCCCACTTCTAATCTACTTACCTTAATATATTCCTAAAAAAAATAAAGAAAAAATAAAGAAAATAGTTAGAAACCCACCAAAATACTACCTTCAAATAGCTTACTTTAATGTATTTCTAAAAAAAAAGTAAAGAAAAAATAAAGAAAATAGTTAGAAACTTACCAAATATCATCTTCGAAAGGCTTACCTTAATGTATTCCTAAAAAAAAAAAGTAAAGAAAAAATAAAGAAAACAGTTAGAAACCCACTAAAAATCACTTCTGATTTACCTACTTTAATGTATTTCTAAAAAAAATAAAGAAAAAATAAAGAAAATAGTTAGAAACCCACTAAAGTACCAATTTTGAAAGGCTTACCTTAATGTATTCCTAAAAAAAAATAAAGAAAAAATAAAGAAAACAGTTATAAAACTACCAAAATTCTACTTTAAATAAAGGAGTCTGGATTTTGAAATTCGATTGCAAATATCTCGAGATGGGATAATCCAAAAATTAATGAATGTTAGCTCATTGAATTCGTCTAGTCGTAAGGAATCGAATGGTAGTTGTTTCATACGAATCAGTGCGATATTGACTGTGTTCGTACATCTTTTGTTTTTTTTTATATATAAAAAATCATGTGATATGATGTCATTTCGACCATTTCGACTTTTCATTTCGACTTTGACCTCCAAAGTCAAAACATTTCGACTTTTTGGGTTTTCATTTCGACTTCATGTATAGTTAAGACATCAGTCTTTATAGATAAAATTTTTATATTAAGATGTATAATATGCTTTTATTTAAACAATAAATTATTATAAAATAATATAATAAAAATAAATAATAAAAGTTAATACAAATCCTTATTCATCTTTTATAAGTCATTATAGTATACAAAACCAGAGCTTTATATTACAAAAGGTAATAATCAGGGTTGTGAATTTTGCATATACTAGATAAAATTACCATTGTACTTGTACTGTACTTGTACTTGTACTAATTTTTATATTAATTATTATAATGTACTAATT